GCCTCCCAAGTGGCCGGGACTACAGGTGCCTGCCACAACGCCCAGCTATTTTTTATTTGCAGCTGTCATTGTTGTTTGGCAGGCCTGGCTGGATTCAAACCCACCAGCTCAGGTGTATGTGGCTGGCGCCTTAGCCGCTTGAGCCACAGGCGCCGAGCCCATGTCACTTTTCTGCTCACGACTCTGCTTCCCTTCCACTCTGCACAGCCATCCTCACCTGAAAGCTCCACTCAACCCACTCCCTGTCCCCCAGTCTGCCACATGCTGCTCCGACCACAGGCGTCCCTGTTCCTCAGAGCCTCTCTCTCTTTTGTCTGCCCGGAATGTTCTTCCCTCCCATCTGCACCCAGCAGCCTCATTTCCTTCAGGTCTTTACTCTAAGTCTCTTTCGTTCTTTTTTTTTTGCAATTTTTGGCCAGGGCTGGGTTTGAACCTGCCACCTCTGGCATATGGGGCCAGTGCTCTACTCCTTTGAGCCACAGGCGCTGCCCTCCAAGTCACTTTCGGTTGAGGCCTTCCTCTGTCACCCAAAGTTCCAACTCCATCCCCAGCGTGTCCCATTCTCTTCCCTGCTGTCTGCTCTCCTTGACATCTAACTCAGCACTGAGTATCCATTTTTAAAAGCTTCCTTGTCTCCAGTCCTCAATCAGAATTTAAGCCTGTGAGGCTAAAGATCTTTGTCCGGCTCACTACTATATCCCCAGTGCCCAACAAACAGTAGATGTTCAATATATGAATATTTTTAAGATGATGAATGGTTTAAGGCGGTCAGGGGTATTTGACAAATACATGTTGTATGAATGAGTGGTTTTGTTTTTTTTTTAAAAGACAGAGTCTAAAGCTGTCGCCCTGGGTAGAGTGTCGTGGTATCACAGTGCCCAGTGACCTCCAACTCCTGGGCTCAGGTGATCCTCTTGCCTCAGTTTTTCTATTTTTAGGAGAGACAGGGTCTTGGTTTTGCTCAGGCTGGTCTTGAATCTGTGAGCTCAGGTAATCTACCCACCTCAGCCTCCCATGAATGAGTGTTTTTAATCAGGGCACATGTTAGATGCCCTGATTTGGCAGCATGGTGCAAACTTCTAGAACTAGAGTGTCTGGGTTCAAATGTGGACATCACACCTCTCAGCTGCATGTGGCCTCAAGTCAGTTATTCAACCTCTCTGTACCTTCACTTACTCTTCCATAAAATAAATGACATGGGCTTGGAGCCTGTAGCACAGTGGTTACGGTGCCAGCCACATACACTGCAGATGGCGGGTTCGAACCCAGCCTGGGCCAGAAAAATAGCCAGGCGTTGTGGCAGGTGCCTATAGTCCCAGCTACTCTAGAGCCTGAGGCAAGAGAATCACTTAAGCACAAGAATTTGAGGTTGCTGTAAGCTGTGACACCACAGCACTCTTCGGAGGGCGACATAGTGAGACTATCTCAAAATAAATAAATAAATAATAAAATGACATGACTTTACCTCACAGAACTGCTGTGAGAATTATTATTATTATTTTTTTGAGACAGAGTCTCAAGCTATCAGCCTTGGGTTGAGCACTGTGCTGTCACAGCTCACAGCAATCTCCAACTCTTGGGCTTCAGCAATCCTCTTGCCTCAGTTTTTCTATTTAGTAGAGATGGTGCCTCGCTTTTTGCTTGGGCTATTATTGAACTCGTGAGCTCAGGCAATCCACCCGCCTCGGCCTCCCAGTGTGCTGGGATTACAGGCATGAGCCACCTTGCCTGGCCCTGCTGTTGGAATTAAATGGACTAACACTTATAAAATGTTTCTAATAGGACCTAGCACAAAATAAATATTTAAAGTGATAGTTTAAAATTTTTTTTCATTGTTGTTGATAGTTGGCAAATATGCTACTTAGTTTGGTGACGTCTGAGTAGTCACTCGTTTATATGAGACAGAGAAAATGTTACTGAACTACCTCTCTGACCTGGGGAAATTCGTTCTCTGTGTTTGCCTAAGGTGGAGACGGCAAAATACACAGAGAAACAGGGCGAGAAGGAGAATGATAAGAACGGGCAGCTGAGTCTCATCTTCAACATACGATTTCATTTCCTGATTTGAAATAATATTGAGAGAGAAAGGCACTCCCATATCCAAATAAATACAAAGACATGCTCCACAGCAGATGCCAGTGGTCTGAAATTACCTTTTGTTATTTGGATTAACCACACCTCTGCTTTGTTACTACCACATAGAAATACCTGAAAACTAACTGAAAACCAAACCTCCACTTTGCTAGTCACTCAACACAGTTACGTAATCTCACAATATGTGAGAAATGGTGCTCTAAGTTAACTTTCATACAGGAAGAGGCCACCTATTACTTGAAATTTAAAATCATTCACAATACAGAAAGCATCTCTTCAGCTCATATTTCTTTAAAATTCTATAGACTGTAATGTGGAAAAATACAGTGACTGACTAAAAAATAACTCTCTCTTTTAATTCAGACCCTGCAATTGTTATTGTGAGACTCAATCAAGGTAATGAGCTGGACAGCCGAGGAAGGTATAAGCCTCTAAACTCCCAATTACTATGAAAGGATACGTGACCGCTGAAGTATTCCCAATGATCCAATAAATCGATAAGTTCACCATGAAAGCGATCACTCCAGATGCCAGCACCATAAGCTGTAAGGAAACCAGAAGAGAGATAAATTTCATAGGGCAGATTAAAAAACTCAAACACCAACCATTAAACATAAGATTAGAAAAAGAATCGATTTGAGAGACAGAAAAAAATAGGAGGTAAAAAAGTTGAATGAATAGCATTCAGAAATGTAATTTGTCCACAAGAATCAGCGAAAAATCTCCTTTCTCTGAATTTCCCTGTTCACTTTTCTTATTTCTCTAAGGAAAAAATATTTTGCAATAATCTATTATGAAACTAATATATACACATTATAGAAAAATCATAAAACAAAGATAAGTAAAAATAGCATAAGGAATTCTCATAGTCCCAGCCACCCACCCTCATGTTAACACCTTGCATGTATCCTTCTGGATCTTTTTTTTTTTTTT